ATCAATGGCATGCCTACCTAAATCCTTCTAGCTTAAGTCAAATGCCTCCTTCTTCCTGAAGTCTTTCATGTCACCTTGGTTAGAACTATGAGCTCTTTTCTTTGCACAATATGTTGCTTATTTTTCTTTCTTAGCATGGATTTGCCAAGAACCACATAGGGTCTGAGATTTTACCTTATTGGCAAGCTAACTAGTTAGTCTAACATAGTTCAATGGATACTGAGATAGGATATAAAACTCCAGGGTCAGAGACAGATGCTTTTATTGTTTGCAGCACAACAAACTCTATGAGTTTCATGTTTTCATTAGTTACCTTGTCCTTGCCATGCTTAGTGAGCAAGAGGCAGAGGGCCCTAGGTGGGTGCTGAGCATGCAGCAGTTTTGTGCCACAGCTGAAGAACTCTGAGGCTAGAAAACCTGGATCTTTTACAATGGCTGCAAGCAAACCTTCCTGAACTTTGCATGAGAGGGAGACATTATATTTATTATGCAGGACAGTAAATAAACTTGTCCTTTTTTCCATAGGCAAATGCTATCTCTATTTTTCATTTCATTTTCTTAGTCATGATACAAACATCCTTAAAAAGATAGTCAAGGACAAAAGGGTAATTAGTACCTCTTGTCATAGATGAGCAGAAGCATGAGAGGTCCATGGAGAATTGGCTTTCAGTAGGATTTACCCTGCCTTGTATTGTACTAAGTGCTTAAATTTTTTTTTCTACATGTCTCAAATGTAATCTCTGTGATGTTGGAAATTGTCAGTAATTTAGGAATACTTTTGATAAAAATAATCAACTGGATGAGGATCCAAGATGGCTGAATAGGAACAGCTCTGGATTGCAGTTCCTAGCAAAAACACAGAGGGTGAGTGATCACTGCATTTCCAAATGAATTTTTACTGCTCACAGACCAGGAGATTCCCAGGTGGAAAAGTGACATGAGTCTCCAGCATGGCTGGTTCAGCTGGTGCAGTGGATCTCTGCACAAAATTTCACACAAATCTGGGTGCCGTTTCAACTGGTGACTGGAATGCCTGGGTGACAGAGTTGCCTGGTCAACTGAAAAAAAGTGGGCTGAAACAGGGAGCCAGGTGATCTGGCTCAGCTGCTCCCACCACGACAAAGACCAGCAATCTGAAATGCTCTGGACTGAGAGTTTCACAGCAAGCACAGCTGGACCCAGGACGGTCCAGCTTTGGTGGGGGAAGGGCGTCCACCATTACCAAAGCAGTCTACCACTGCTGAGGCAGCCCGCCATTACCGAGGCAGTCCAGCATTACTGAGACAGCCTGCTATTACTGAGGCAGTCAGGCATTTCCGAGGCAGTCTACCATTACAGAGAGAGTCCACCATTACTGAGGCAGATGGCCATTACCGAGGCAGTTCTAACTATACCCCTATAAACAAAACTGCAAGGAAGTTCATACAGCAGCTGGGCAGAGCCCATGGTTGCTTAGCAACGCGTCTGCTGGCAGACTGTGACTAGGCTACCTCCTCGCTGGGAAGGGCATCTCTGAAAAAAGGCAGCAGAATGACAGTAACTTATAAATAAATCCCTACCTTCCCAGGACAGAGCACCTGGGAAAAAAAAGGTGGCTATGAGTTCCACTGCAGCAGACTTAAACATACCTGCCCATCAGCTCTGAACAGAACAATGGAACTCACAGCTCAGCATTTGAGCTCCTATAAGGGACAGACTGTCTCTTCATGCAGCTCCCTGACCCCCGTATAACCAAAGAGACACCTCATAAAGGAGAGCTCAGGCTGATATCTGGTGGATATCCTTCTGGGACAAAGATAACAGAAGAAGAAACTGGCCGCAACCCTTACTGTTCTGCAGCTGCTGCAGGTAATCCCCAGGCAAGTAGGGTCTGGAGTGGACCTCCAGCAGTCCTGCAGCAGGGGGAACTGACTGTTAGAAGGAAAACTAAGAAACAGAAAGAAATAACTTCATCAGCAACAAAAAGGATGTCCACTCAGAGACCCCATATGAAAGTCACCAACCACAAAGACCACAGGTAGATAAATCCACAAAGATGGGAAGAAATCAGTGCAAAAAGGATGAAAATACCCAAAACCAGAATGCCTCTTCTCCTCCAAGGGATCACAACTCTTCACCAGCAAGGGAATAAGGCTGGATGGAGAATGAGTCTGATGAATTGACAGAAACAGGCTTCAGAAGGTGGGTAATAACAAACTTCTCTGAGCTAAAAGATCATGTTCTAACCCAATGCAAAGAAACTAAGAACCTTGAAAAAAGGTTTGATGAAATGCTAACGAGAATGGACAAAATAGAAATGAATATAAATGAATTGATGGAGCTGAAAAACACAACACGAGAACTTCGTGAAGCATACACAAGTTTCAATACCCGAATTGACCAAGCAGAAGAAAAGATACCAGAGATTGAAGATCAACTCAATGAAATAAAATGAGAAGGGAAGATTAGAGAAAAAAGAGTGAAAGGAATGAACAAAGCCTCCAAGAAATATGGGACTATGTGAAAAGACCTAATCTACGTTTGATAGGTGTACCTGAATGAGACAGAGAGAATGAATCCAAGCTGGAAAACACTCCTCAGGATATTATCTAGGAAAACTTAGCAAGGCAGGCCAACATTCAAGCCCAGGAAATACAGAGACCACCACAAAGATATTCCTTAAGAAGAGCAACCCCAAGGCACATAAACATCTGATTCACCAGGGGTGAAATAAAGGAAAAAATGCTAAGAGCAGCCAGAGAGAAAGGTCAGGTTACCCACAAAGGCAAGCCCATCAGACACATAGCAGTCTCTCAGCAGAAACCCTGCAAGCCATAAGAGAGTGGGGACCAATATTCAACATCCTTCAAGAAAAGAACTTTCAACCTAGAATTTCATATTCAGGCAAACTAAGCTTCATAAGTGAAGGAGAAATAAAATCCCTTATGAATAAGCAATTGCTCAGAGATTTCATCACCACGAGGCCTGCTTTACAAGAGCTTTTGAAAGAAGCACTAAATATAGAAAGGAACAACCAGTACCAGCCACTCCAAAAATGAACCAAATAGTAAAGAGCATTGACACAATGAAGAAACTGCATCAACTAATGGGCCAAAGAACCAGCTAGCATCAAAATGGCAGGATCAAATTCACACATAATAATATTAACCTGAAAGGTAAATGGGCTAACTGCCCCAATCAAAAGACACAGACTGGCAAATTGGATAAAAAGCCAAAACCCTTCGGTGTGCTGTATCCAGGAAACCCATCTCCCGTGCAGGGATACACATAGGCTCAAAATAAAGGGATGGAGGAAGATCGACCAAGCGAATGAAGAGCAAAAAAAAAAAAAAAAAAAAGCAGGAGTTGCAATTGTAGTCTCTGGTAAAATAGACATTAAACCAACAAAGATCAAAAGAGACAAAGAAGGGCATTACATAATGGTAAAAGGATCAATGCAACAAGAAGAACTAACGATCCTAAATATATAAGTAACCAATACAGGAGCACCCAGATACATAAAGCAAGTTCTTAATGACCTACAAAGAGACAGACTCCTACGCAATAATATTGGGAGACTTTAACACTCCACTGTCAATATTAGACAGATCAACAAGACAGAAAATTAACAAGGATATCCAGGACTTGAACTCAGACCTGGACCAAGCAAACCTAATACACATTTACAGAACTCTGCACCCCAAATCCACAGAATATATATATTTTTCTTAGCACCACATCATACCTACTCTAAAATTGACCACATAATCAGAAGTAAATCTGGGACCGAGAGGTGGGACTCACCATAGTTGGAGGCTGTGCTGAGTGGGTTGAGGTCCTGGCCCAAAGTACAGAGTGTGCCCTTGGAGGACTGCATATCTTATCTCAAGAGCTTTCTTATCTTTGGGTCCTATGCTCTTGGAGCTTGTCTCTATGGGTTTTGGTGAGCAGCAGAATTCAGGGGTCAAACCTAAGGTAGATGTGGACAAATGGCTAAGAGAACAAGGTGCTAGTTTAGGGATGAGCTGCCAATGGAAGGATGTACTTTTTGGAACTTTAGGCTTGCCTTACAGGGAGATTTTTCTTGCTACACACACCTGAGCATTGAAACCAAGCTGCCAGAGCTCTAGAACCATAGCCAGCTGCTGGCATCTTTAGCCATAGCTTCACTTCCCCTTCCCAGATGCAGTTTGTCTAAAATTGGAGCCGTGCCCCTCCAAAAGCTGCTCTTTCTCCACTATTTATTTTCATGAATGAGCCATCATAACCTAGATTCTCAAATCAGAAATATGGGATTATTTCAGTAATTCTTTCCTCATCTCTATATCTCATTAATCAAAAAGACTTAATTAGTTCTGAAGCAGGAAATGTTTCTGACCCCTTTATGGGTGGATACAGGAACCGGAGTGCACAGGTTCTAGAACTAGCAGGTCGCTTTGGTGCTGGCAGGGGCGGACTCCACTCGCTGGATCCTGCTGCCTCATGGAGGGGGAGCACAGGTGAGTGGGTGCAGGAGCCAGGGCCAGTGTGTGCAGGAGCAAAACTGTGTGGCCCTTGGCAGTGTCTAGGGGGGTACCTGCGACCCCTGAAGCCCCAGAGGGTGTGTGATACGGTGCCCTTTTAGCTTTGCCATCCACTGATGGCTTAAATGTTAAATAGCTCAGTGGGCCCTCTGTTTTTTGGTGTGAGGCAGTTGTTCTCTGCCAGTGAGGGCAGAGAGTCAGTGTGACAGTATAGTGTCAATTGTCTATCTCTGAAAACCCCTTAAGGATGGGGGTCACATGCATTTCTCCAGGCCAGCAACTAAACTCAGAAAATGTTTATTGAGTGAATGACGAAACGATAGGTGAGTAGGTCACAGGTCCTAGCAACTCCCACTGCTTCCAGCCGCAGAAATGGCTCTTTCAAACCCAGACTCTTTGGCAGGACCTTCCAGCGAGTGGAGGCACTCTGAACTACGTTTCCCAGGAGTCCAAGGGAGCCGCGCGCAGGCGCACTTGGAAAATACGGTGGCCGTCTTCCTTCCAGAAATTTGCAGATCACTCACCCTCGTCCCGCCCCTGCCACTCCCCTACTCCTCCTGTCCCGCAGTCGGAGCGGCTTTACTTGTGTGTGTATCGCTGCAGGCCTTACTCATGGGCTCACCGCTGAGGTTCGACGGGCGGGTGGTACTGGTCACCGGCGCGGGGGGAGGTGAGCATGCGAAGGTTGGAGGCTGCCAGCCTTGCTCTCCCAAGGGCTGCTGGCCGCCCTTTGCGGGCCGGGGATACGCGCGCAGCCGCAGCTGAGGTGCCGGCGCCGGGGCTGTTGGCGGTGGTGACTGGCAGGCTTGGGGACCGAGCGGCTGCACCGGGTGGTGGTGGTGGGGAGGGGAATGGCTGTTCTTGAGGCACGGAATGTGCTGAGGAGGAAAGAGCCCGAAACACCTGGTCCCTCAGGCAGGGTGCAGCACCCCGGCGTAGGCTTCCCAAGGGGAGAGGCCAGGCTGGGGTACTGGTTGCAAAGCTGGGTGAAAGTTCTTCCTGACTTTTATCTGTGGGCATTGATCGTTACGTTTCCTGCAATTAACTCTCTTAGATCTTTGCATAGTGTTTTAAAGGACTGAAAAGCCGCGAGGGGCGGGGGCTGTCATTCGCCTCAACTCCTGAAAAGTCAGTCGTTCAGTGTTGGTTTCCCTCTGTCACACGATTTTAAGTTCTTGAGAGGGCCTTTTTAAAAGAGGGCGTCTGATAAGAGCCCTCCCCGTTGAAGTTTGTACTCGAAGTTGGAGTCTTGGCAAAGATTGCAAACTCAAATGAGGACAGAGGTCAGGCTCATGATGGAGAAAGAAAATGGGAGTTCAATGTGGAGGGACATTGAGGAACTGGAAAGCAGAGACTTCCCAAGTGGCCCAGCCAGTAGGAAAGTTTCCCGTATTTCAGGAGGGCAAAATGGAAAATTGTTCTGTGAAATAACATTTTTAATTAAAGGACAAAAAACCAAAACCACTCATACCCGCATAGATGCTGTGCAGTGAGGTTTTACACTAGTTTCTCACCAGTGGGTGACCTCTGTGACCTCCAAGTGCAGGGATCTTGACATACGCACCTTTGATTCTCCACTGGTAGTGCCTTGTACCTGGAAAGGGCCTAATGCATGAATTACTTGAATTATATATTAAACGTTACAAACTGTGGAATTCTGTCAGTTAATTCCTATGTACTTTCATGTCTGTGTTGATAAAGTGGATTCTTATGCTGCCTTTCACAAAATGCTTTTAGTATTTGTTAATAGCCAAGTATTTTATAGCCATAGCTGCCTGGTTATATCTCGATGTATTTGGGTATACCCATACCTTCTAAATGTTTTTAGGAAAACTTTTTGTTTATACTTTGTTTTAGATGGAAATAGTGTGTTTTAAAACGGTTGGTGTTTTAAATCTTTCTAGACAGTTCTCGGATAATTTTCATGCAGAAGGTTCAGGAATTACATTCCGAGAAGTTTTTACCATTGCTAAGGGGACTTGCCTTTTCAGGGGCTATATCTGAAAACCATTCAAGAATAGGGACTGTTTATTTTGATGCTGTTAGCATACTTACACATGATATGCAGTACATTTTACACCAGGACTCAGTACACTTACACATGCCCACACATCTGTATTTAAAACCAGTTCATAATACACTATGTAGTACTTATATTGTATCCTGAAATTTATTTTCTATTCTGTTTTATTTATAAATTTTAATTGCAACCCACAAAATTGATTTTGTGAAACAATGAGTTGTGACTAGACAGTTATGAACTTAGCACCTGCTGTTCATAAACTGGAAATTCTCTCTCACTTGTTCAGAGTGGTGTTTTTTTTTTTTTTTTTTCAGAGAAAAAGTTGTACTCTGTAACCCAGGCTGGAGTGCATTAACCCAGGCTGGAGGGCAGTGACCCGATCATGGCTCACTGTAACCTTGAACTCTTGGGCTCAGGCGATCCTTTTGCATCAGCCTTCTGCCTAGCTAGGACTATAGGTGTGTGCCACAATGTCCAGCTAATTTTTAAATGTTTTCTAGAGATGGAATCTTGCTTTGTTGCTCAGGCTGGTCTCAAACTCATGGCCTCAAGCGATCCTTCTGCTTGGATTAAATTCTAAAATAAATTATTTGGTGATATTTTCTAGTTTTGGAAAACTCTGTGTTTTTAGTTCTTTTTGTTTATTTGTTTGTTTGAGACGAAGTCTCACTCTGTTGCCAAGGTTGGAGTGTAGTGGCACAATCTCGGCTGACTGTAGCATCCACCTTCCCAGTTCAAGCAATTCTACCTCAGCCTCCCAAGTAGCTTAGGGTACCAGGTACATGCCACCATACCTGGCTAATTTTTGTATTTTTAGTAGACAGGGTTGCACCATGTTGGTCAGGCTGGTTTTGAACTCCTGACTTCAAATGATCCACCCACCTCTGCCTCACAAAGTGTTGGGATTACAGGTGTGAGTCACTGTGCCCGGCCTTGGGTTCTTTTTGGAAGGGGCTAATAATTTATGGTTCTCAGTTTGTTATTTGTATGCTTATAGATTAAGTCGTACAAATATAAATTGTTAATTAAATTTATTCATTTGTCAATAAAATTTATCAACTTAAAATGTAAAAAATATACGCATATTAAAAAATGTAAACAATCCAGAAAAACAATCCCGAAGTAAGCCTTCCACCCACCCCTTGTTGCTGGCCACACAGTTCTATTCTTCAGAGGTAACCACTAATTGCCAGTTTCTTATGTATTCTTCTCGAGACTCTCTATGCCTATAAAACTTCTCTCTCGGCCTGGCACGGGAGCTCACGCCTGTAATCCGGGCACTTTGGGAGACTGAGGGGGGTGGATCACGAGATTACGTGATTGAGACCATCCTGGCCAACATGGTGAAACCCACTCTCTACTAAAAATGCAAAAATTAGCTGGGCATAGTGGCAGGCACCTGTACTCTCAGCTATTCAGGAGGCTGAAGCAGGAGAATTGTTTGAACCTGGGAGGCGGAGGTTGTAGTGAGCCGAGATCGAGCCACTGCACTCCAGCCTGGTGACAGAGTGAGACTCTGCCTAAAAAAACAAAAACAAAAACACCCCCCCCTCGCCAAAACGTCTCTCTCTCTCTCTGTCTCTCTGTCTCTCTCTGTGTGTGTGTGTGTGTGTGTGTGTGTGTATATATATATATAATTTCTTTTTGGATATATAAACTTATACCTTATAGCTTTGAGTCAGAATTAAATATTTTTTGTGTTTGATGACTGTGTAGTCAAGGTTCAGGGCAGGATACAGAAACCACTAGATATTTTAAGCAGTAAAGGATTCAATATAGACAGTTAGGTTTTAGAGAGGTCTTAGAATAACTTATGCATCAATAGGAAATCGATCTATTAGAGGAGGCAATACCTCTGAGGCTGTCACTGGAGCTGTGCCACAGCCCAGGTAGCACTGGCACTAGGGACCTGAAGTATGAAAGCTACCATCTGGGGATTAGGGAGCTGAATGAAGAAGTTGCCTCTATAGTCATTGTTTTTTTAATACCAAGGAACTTTCAATTAGCTTCTTAACAACAGCAACAGCTAGAACTCTCAGTAAGGCGGCCTCTGTCTCACTTTCACCTTCTAAATTTTATGCAGATGCATCAGATGGTGGACCGCAATCTACAGCATCCTAGCAGCTAAGTAGAATGGTAGGAAATGGTAGTAGAATAGGAAAAATACAGTTTTAAGTTTTCCAACCTCTGCAAGCAGAAGAGAGTGGTTAGGGTGAGAGTGCCAATGATAGGTTAGGTTGAGAGTACCATTAAAACATAATTAATTGCTCACCAGTTTTTTAAAATGGAGATTGAGTTGAGTGGACCAAAAAAACTATGCTGACATTTCTTCAACTTTCTGATTATTTTGTTTTTGATTAGGATTGGGCCGAGCCTATGCCCTGGCTTTTGCAGAAAGAGGAGCATTTGTTATTGGTAAGTTGGTGTGTTTTTCTTTTTAATCCATAGCTGATAACTGAAATACAATCCTCACAAGCTACCTTTGTTTTTCTATCAAATAATTTGTCAAGGTTGAATTTTATCCTTAATTTTTACTTTTGCCAGAAGGTTTTAGCCCCACTAAGGCTGTCTTTTTAACTTACTTTTAAAAGTTAATGAGTTTCACAGATTTCCCAACTTAACAGAATTGATAAATAAGGGCTAGAGGGTGGGCATGGTGGCTTGTGGCTATAGTGCCAGCGACTCAGGAGGCTGAGGTGGGAGGATCACTTGAGCCCAGGAGTTTTCGGCTACAAAGAACTATCATTATGCCATCCCACTCCAACCTGGGCGATGGCGCGAAACCCACTTCCTCACGGGGTGGGGACAAGCATTTATTGTATAAAAGGAAATTCTCGACTTTAGTAAATTGTGGGCTGTAATTTTTTGAGGCGGGAGATTCATCTACTGGTGTGAGATCAAAAGAGAGCCCAGTTAAGAAATAACAGAATTTTGAGAACTGGAAGTTTGGAGTCAAGGTATCTAAAATATGAGTTTCTTGTCTCTTTCATCGAAACTCTTCAACTGGAAGCTTTAAAAAAAATTAATTGAGGGGGCAGTTACATGAGTTTTTGTTTAGTAGTGGAGGGGTCAGATATATTGAAGAATCCCAAAGTGGGGAGGTTTTAGTAGTCTAAATGGTTTGGACTGACCTAATGTGCTTTACAGTTGATGTGGACACAAATGAATTTGTCCACAACTGAGCCTTTGTGGGGAATAACTAAATGAGTACTAAGTGAAGAAGGATATATAGGACCCAGTATTTATTAGCGTATTTTCTGGGATAAAATTGTGAGCCCACAATGACCTTCTATTTCAGCTTTCTGACGTCTTACGAGGCAATACAGAGAGATGAATTTTCATCAGTTTGTTCAGGGAGATACATATAACAAAAGAGTAAGCAAGCAACCACGTTTTCTAAACAAAGAAGCCCTAAGCTGAGCATTTAATATACTTTTCTCCTTCAGCGTGGATGTGTAGCTTATCTTTATGAAAGGAACTCAGACACTTTGGACGTTCCTTGTTTACGATCATAGCCACTATCTGCTAATCCAATCTGCTTCTTATGGCAAGGACGAATTTTGACATTGTAGTATTTGGACAGCAGGTATGTATTTCAGGCCCTCTTTGTCAGATTTTCCCAGGAATAGCTTGCGTTGAGGCCTAAAGACACGTGCTGTTACTGTTTTTTCTTTTTCTTCTCTTTTTTTGTTGCTATTTAGTTCTTAGTATTTTTACCTTATATGTTTTCATTTTTTCTTCTTTACTTTATATGTTTTTATTTTTATCTTTTCTGCTCAATTCCTTAAGTTCAAGGATCTTGTTTTATTGTATCTACTAAAGGACCTAGAATATTACCTTGTACAAAGAAGGTACATTGTTCATTGGTTCTTTTATTCTTGAAATAGTCTTTTTTGGGGGAGGGGCTGGTGTGTTTGAGATTGGTTGAATACATTTCTTGTGTGTTTTTTTTTTTGTTCTTGACTACAACATAAACTTAGTTTATAAACTTGTTTTATAAAACATTTTTTAACAGTGTGTTCGTGTGCATCAGTTTTCCTTTATTTCCCTGTTCCTTTTGAATTTCTTAAATTCAGATTAGGAATGTTTGAATTCTAAGAAAAAATTAAACGGAGAGGCTGTGTCTCTCTGTTCTGTCATTGCATTACTATAGTAGGGATGATAATTGCATCAAGTTCTGGTAAAAGTCCAAGAATACGGAAGAAAACTATTTCCTAAACCTGGTTGAAGAGCCAGATTTAGTTGTGTTAAAGGGGAGAACTCAATCTTTGTGGAAATGCAGAAATTTTAACTATGTTTTCTATTCCTTTTTAGTCTGTGTCTTAACTGGGAACTTTCTAGACCACCCGTGGATTGTCTTCTTCCCTACCACACTACTTTCTATGTTAGCCTTTTTATGTGTACGCCATAGACACTCTGTTTCCAGGTTGCTTTACATGCGCTAATTTTTTTTCTTTTTTTTTTGAGGTGGAGTCTCGTTCTGTTGTCCAGGCTGGAGTGCAGTGGCCCAGTCTCAGCTCACTGCAACCTCTTCCTCCCTGCTTGGGTTTAAGCAGTTCTCTTCTTCAGCCTCCTGAGTAGCTGGGATTACAGCTGCCTGCCACCACTCCTGGCTAATTTTTTTTTTTTCCCAGCTAATTTTTTTTTGTTGTTTGTTTGTTTTTAGTAGAGATGGGGGTTCACCATCTTGGCCAGGCTGGTCTTGAACTCCTGACCTCAGTCTTGATCTACCTGCCTCAGTCTCCCAAATTGCTGGGATTACAGGGATGAGCCACCATGCCTGGCCCACACACACTAATATTTCTCCTATGTTTAATTTCTTCTGCTCAGCAAAATTTTTTCCTGGGTAAGCAAAAAATAGTAAAGAAGAATAAGCAAATTTAGGATGTTATGATGACATCAGAGTATATTGCTTTTGGAAAAGTGACTAATCAGATTGTCTTAACTAGCTCAGAAGCCAGTAAGAAGTAAGGCCTTAAGAAATAAAGTAGCTTTTTTCTTATATGTCATCTTTTGCTATGTTATGGCTGCATTTAAAACAACCTCTAAATCTCAATGGCTTACAGTGACAAAAGATTATTTCATGCTTCTGGTCACCTGTGATTCTTCTCTGTGTGTCTTCCTAATTTCAGGATTCCAGCTGGAGAAGCAGCTCCTATCTGGGACATTGCTATTGTTGGGGCAGAGGGAAAATAACAAGGGATCTACTTAGTGGTTCTTAAAGCTTCTTTTTAGAAGTGGCCTGCCACTTCTTCTCACATTTCATTGGCCAAAGGAAATCACCTGGCTAAGCCCAAAGTTAGGGTATCATTTAAGATACTCTCCAATTTTGCATTAATGTGATTGCTCTGTTGTATGTTCCATAATATAAAGCATATGGAATATTTAAATTTGGTATAAGAACTGCTAAGCCTTAGGCTGATACTGTAAAAAGGGACATTTGCTTTTGTGTAAATTACATCTTTCAGGAAATGCTTGCTCATATCTTAAGTAGGATATTGGGAATTTGATAGTTTTGAGGTTTCCTCATTAGGTGAACTATATCCGGTTCGCTGAATAGTAAGTTTAATTTGAGGACATAAACACAAGACGGACTGACAAGGAGAAGCAAAACAACCCCTTAGTAAGAAAGGCAGTTCTACTCTTGAACTGAAGTAACACCTTTGAGTAAATTAAACTACAGTCCTTTAAAGTAAGATTGACATGCCTTTTCCGTGCTGCAGTTCCATAATAATGGTAAAGCTGAGTCTTAACTTCCTGTGTGCCGATGCTAGCGCCAGTGTTTTTAATCACTTTTAACTTCCAGTTCACAGCTGGAAGGTGAACTGTCATGGGGAAGGTGCATTGCCTTTGAAGTCAGGCCAAGCTTTAAATCCTGGCTCTGCTGCCTAATTACATGACCTCTCTTTTTGTAGCTGTCTTACCGAACTTCCAGGATTATGGTAAGGGTAAATGACAAAAAATTAAAGACTTTTGGAAAGGGAAGAGAGGAAAAGAAAGGAACCAGCATCAGTGCTTACCGTGTATGAGTCACTCTGCCCAAGCACTGGATATATCAATTGAACCTGAGATCTTGTTGACTCAAGGCACATCCCAGCCCCCTTATACATGTTTCTCCTAGATGCTTAGAGTAAAAGCTCATGACTTAGTCCATTTTCTGTTGCTTATAACAGAACACTTAAAACTGGATAGTGTATTTTTAAAAAGGTACTTATTTCCTGCACTTATGTATGTTGAGTAGTCCAGTGTTGAGGGGCTAATATCTGGTGAGGGCCTCTTTGCTGGTGGGGATTCTGTAGAGTCCCAAGATGGCACAGGGCATCACATGACAAGAGACTGAGTGTGGTGACTCTGGTCTCTTTTTCTCTTCTTATAAAGCTGCTAGTCTCATTCCCATGATAACCTGTTAATTCATTACCCAATTAATCCATTAGTCCATGAATGGATTAATGCATTTATAAGGGCAGAGCCCTCAGGACTCAATGACCTTTTAAGGGCCCCAACTCTCAATACTGCCACATTGGGGATTAAATTTCAACATGAGTTTTGGAGGGGAGAAATGTTTAAACTAGAGCAGGCTGCTTTAGGCACTGATATACTCTCTGCAATGATAAGTATAGTACTTTACTTAGTAGTCAAGAATATATACTGATTGGATGAGTTAAACTTACATAATATAGGGAGAAAGATTATAAGAAAGCACATGTGAATTTTAGCTTGTAGTAAATGAGCCATACCCACATCTCCCTTAGATACCTCCGTGACTATCACCAACCTGGGTTATGGGGGAAAACCTTTGAATAAATTTCGAATAGCTCTTAGCTATTTGTCATTTTAAGAGCTAGAGTAGCTCTTAGCAATTTGTTATTTTGTCATTTGCCAGTTTTTTACAAATGTATTAAAGTTAATACACTTTAAATAGATTCACGTATTCATCCAACAAGTATTATTAGGCATCTATTATGTAGCAAATACTGTTCTAGATGCTGGAGGAATGTAGTGGGAATAAAACACAGTCCCTGCTTTCATGGTGCATATATTCAAGTGGGGGACAGTGGAGGGGCAGATCATCAACAAACACATATGTAAAAATAGGTAAAGGTAGGTGCTATGGAGAAAAAAATGAGTGAATGCTGAAAGAAGACTTTTAAAGAGAGACTGCAGGAAGTGAAGGAGTGTGCTTTGAGGAGATCTGCTGCCTAGCAGATCATGCCTAGCAGAGGAAGCAGCTGATGCCAGGTTACTGAGGCCAGAGCAGACATGGTTACTTAGGAAGGGGGCCAACGTGGTTGTAGCGAGCAAAGTCATGAGGGGGACAAAAGTGAGAGATGAGGGCAGAGAGGTCGTAGAAGGCCAGATCACGTAGGACCTTTAGTTCGGAGTAAGGACTGACTTTTACCCTGAAATGGGGAGCC